GATCTAAACTTGATATCGCTGCCATGCAAAGTTCTACTCGGCTGGCAACATTTGTTCCAGAAAAAAAAAGTTGCGAACAGCACGCTATTTAAAGCAGTCGACTTTGGGCCTAAAAATAACAGTTGCAAAAATACAGTTCGCTGCCAGCCATACCATGAAATACTGCGATATTAGCAACAACAGTTCGAAAAAATAACAAATATATGTATATAACAATCTGCTAAAAACAAACGCTCTGAAGTTGATATCGCTGCCATGCAAAGTTCTACTCGGCTCACAACATTTGTTCTAGAAAACGAAAGTATTCTTTAGCCCAAATTATTAAACGCTCCTATAATTGGAAATCGCTTTTATTTTACACATTTGATTTATAAACAACAGTTGATGTAGAAGCAGTCGACTTTGCTTCCTAAAAGTAACAGTTGCAAAAATACAGGCCGACAGCCACGCCATGAAATACTGCGATGTTCGCAACAGTTCGAAAAAATAACAAATATAAAAATAACGAACTACCAAAAACAAATGATGTGAACTTGATAACGCTGTCATGCAAAGTTCTACTCGGCTCGCAACATTTGTTCCAGAAAATGAAAGTTGCGAACAGCTCGCTGTTTAAAGCAGTCGACTTTGTTTTCTAAAAATAACAGTTGCAAAGATACAGTTCGCCCACAACCATGCCATGAAATCCTGCGATACTGTCACTTTAAGATATAGGTTTTGCCCAACTCTAATAAACTTATATTAAAAAAAATACAATCATTATTATAGTATAGTTTTATATTTATGTCTAGTTTGGCACTATCACACAATAAACTATAAAAAGCAATAGAAACATTTTTTCGAGTACTAAAATTTACCTATATCCAACGTGAAGAAATATATAATACTGCATAACAATTAGGTAAAATACAAAAACAATTTGTAGAAAAAAAAATCTTAAGGCAAAAAATAGTATAAATAAATACAAGATTTATTACTACAAATCGTTTCTGTATAGACAAAGACACGATAACAATAAATTAAAATTAAGCTTAAAGTAGACACAAAAATATATATCAATATTGCTAACTTCGGGCGCACTGAAACCCAAATATCTCCCAAAATGTTTATATATTAATCTTATACTAAATATTTTCTTAATTAACAAATATACATATCCTAAGTACGTCCCTGTGCACCCGCCCTAATCAAAATGATAATATCAACTATCACATTATGTATACTCGTTTTCTATCCTTCTTCCATATGTTTTCCAGTCTTAATTTTTCTCATGCTATTAACATTTAAACAAAAACATAGTAATATATAAAGAATAATCCAAGGAATGTTAACTAGTTGTTGACAAAAAGTTATAATAAATAGTAAACGTATATAACAAACCTATATTAAAGTTAACCCTAAGGGGTTAAGCTTGATTTTCATGCATCCGTTATCCGACGATACGATATTAATTTTATTGGTTGAATTTGGTTGAAGATTTCGATTGGTTAGAAAATTACGCAGTTTTTAAATTTATTGCATTTTCATGCCTCTGTTCATCGGATGTACGATTTGCTTGTGATTGGTGCCATTTTATGTATTGATTTCCATAACGATTTCGTGTTTTACTTATAGCCTAAGATACGTTCTCGAAAGAGAATTTTAAGAAAGCTGGTGCTCTAATATATCTTGTTATGCTCTCCTGAATAGAGTGCGGACCGTATGGCTGCCGATAGACGTTGTGTTCACTACTGCGCATCCATATCTGTATTCAACATCTGTTCACTACTGCGCTTCACAAATTCGTTCTGTATTTCGGGAACTAAGGAGGCTAGGACAAACATATGTGTAGCATATTTAGTTTCATAAAAAAGTAGCAAAGTAGTGTGAAAATCGCATCATTGTATCTCTACTCATAAACGAGAAATCCCATAAAACACACGAAAATGGGGTACCCTGTACAGATGTGATGCGCAGTAGTGAACCGCAGTAGTCTACCGACAGCCGGACGGCCCGCACTTTGGTCAGGAGTGCATAGAAAAAGATATATTAAAGAACCAGCTTTCTTACAATTATCATTTTCCTGACGTTGCTAGCTCCTGTACTATTAAATTTTTATTAAGGTTAGATTCGATTTGTCAAAAAAGTGTCAAAACGTCCGTTATCGTACGATCTTTCTCCGTTGACGGGTTGGAGTAAAAAATTTACGGATATAAAGTGGCGCGAAAACGCTATGACCAATCAAGCGCCGTCGGACCATCGTATCAACGGATAACGGATGCATGAATGTCAGGCTTTAAGCGTTACATGTTAACTGCGTCTCTGCTTAACAAAATTTATAATTATCAATAATATTTACTTACACGCTTAAGTCCCATATTCACTAGTCACACTATTCAATGTTCGTTAATGCGTCGATTTCGTGTGTCAATGCGTCGAAGCGATGGATGTGCGGCGGTTCGGTGGCATATCGATTTTTGTGCGAACCGTCAAAAGAAATATCAAGAACACAATGAACAAATTTCCGAAGGAACTCACAAATCGCATCGACGGACCAGATAATAATCACTATACGTGTAAATACGCATATCAAATCGACACATCGACGCATAGTGAGTATGGGGCTTTACCTAATTTTGATTTATGTCAGTCCAAAAGTTAACATAAATTTTTGTTCAGCAGAAATGAAATTCAGTAAACTGAGAAAAAAATTACAGAATTTGTGATGCAAAACAATTGAAAACCACACGGGAAAACTATGACAGTCCATTTTCGCTCATTTGGTTTTAATGCATAATATTTTCCGTCTTAAAAAGCTACACCTTTTGGTACCTAAATAAACTGGAATAATAGAAACAAGCATTTAAAAATACCACATACTCGGGAAAAACAATTAAAGTATATGCGTAATTTAAATTAAAAAACGATTTCCTGAACATTTATTGGTTTTGGACAGGCGTCGTTTTTCACGTGTACTCTTCATTTATAATACAATTAATCAATATGTATTCACTGAACAAAATTTATCTATTTATTGTAAAAAGTGCTACTTATAAAGATCACAAGAAATGCCACTCGCAAACAGTGGCGCATCTAGAGATTGAAACTGAGAGGGGTAATGGAAGTAGTTCATCCTAAGAGGAATAATTACCCCCATTACCTCTCCTTTTCATGCGCTTCTGCTTGCTAATTAATTATTTACCATGACCAATTTTCTATATTTTGCAAAAACTTTAATGTCATTCTTACTTAATATTGAAAATAAAAAAAATAATAAAATAGCAGTTATATACTATCGATACCAAATAAACTTTTAGTTACGTCATCAAGTGCGCGATAATTAAATTCATTGTTACCAACCATCGATATATTCGGCGCGCCGGCCGGGCTGAAAATGAGAATCTTACGCTAACGATTCAAGTGGTCATATTTACTTACTGATATTTCGACTAGTTTTGACATTTTAGTTTTGTATTACGATTTGTTGCTTAAAGCGAATTCTGTCGTGATATTTTATGCTTAAAATTTTGTACTAGCAGACCTTGCGGTTGAAAATTGTTCTTTTTAGAAAAGCTTGTATTGCGAATTGTACAAGATGGTTGCAAGATGCAAAAAACTCATCGCATCATTATTAAAATATAACTAATGGGAAGGCGGCAATAATAACAACCCTTTATAAAACTTTCTCCTGTTAAGGAGGCGAGTTTCGTTGATGTAAATAATAACTGTTTATATGTTTTTAATTAATTCATTTTTGTTTCCTAAAATATTTTGATTAAAAGAACCTATTTATTATTAAAAGTAGTTTAATCACGTGACTAAAAGCTTATTTGGTATGACCTATAGAGATATATTACATGAATTTAATTTTAAATATAGGAAATTGACTATAAGATAATTATTACTCATAAAATTTGCATTTTTATTTATACATCAATATTACATCGCTTAATATTTTTATATTTAATTTCATTTAAGTCTCCAAGAATAACTTTAAAATGGTTAAATTCAGACTAAATATTTATATCAGAAATAGTAAATAGTATACAATGCATTATTATTACCTCCTCAAAATTGATGATCTAATTTAAATAACTATTCAGAAAATAGAGTTCTTCATAAAATAATTACCTATGAAGGTACTAAGTTTAGCAATAAGAATGAAATGTCTATAAAAAATAAAGTCAATTTATAAAAATATACCTTATTATGTATACGAAAAAGAGAAAAAATTGCTGAGAAAACATTTTCATAAAATAATGCCGCAATGTTAATTAAAAATGATCAAGTAGGCATAATTAACAGGAGTTTTTTTAATAAGCATTGACTTTTTATCAATCCATAAAAAAATTGTGTGATTCTTTATAGGTGACATAACTAAATATACATACATTTAAAAAATATCTATACCTCTGTAGCGAATTCATCTCTCCAAAAAAAAGTCTCTGGGTATTTCGCCCATTGCACTGTAAGAAAATCTACAAAAAAAAATAAAAATAGTTCTTTTTTGTAAACACCGCTGCGTTAATCCAACGGAGACCAATTTGTCAGCGGTGGTTTACTAATAAAACAAATTTGCCTAACGGGAAAAAATGCTTAACGTTTCGGGAAGTATATCTCTTGTTTTGAATAGTTGTATTTGGATATTTTAAATATATTTTTCTCTCTTTGTTTTTCTGTTTCCGACGACAGGAAGAGGTGTATTTCCCGAAACGTTAAGAATTTTTTGTCACTTCGGCAAATTTTTTGTATTACCTATTAGTAAAAAAAAATAACTATTTTTTGTAAATTTTCTTACAGTGGGCGAAATACCAAGAATTATTTTAAGATACAAACATGTATAAAACCATTTCATAGATACATTTCTTCCACTTGCAGATGAGGACGTAAAAAGTACACCCTGCTAAATTTAGGAACCTTAAATTATTCTATATAAAGTCAGCAATTCTAACTATATCGGCATAACATGTGTATATATTAAAAACTTAATATAAAATAATATATATTTCTAATTATTGTACTTAGCTGTTACATATTGGCAATATCTAACAAAAGCTAATCAAGCTTTCGACGTGCTGTCGTCTGTATCGTCGCTTTTTTGTTTGTTCCTTAAAATATTTAAACTGGTTTGCGGATCGGCCAAGGAATACGTCTCGGGTTGGAATACCGGCGGGTATTCTAGACCTGGGTAATCGGCGTGAGGCCTAATTGATGTAGAGTGCTGTTGTGGCAACATGGGTGGGGATTTATCCAGTGACGTTGAACTTTGCGACATTGAAATTGATTGCTGTAACCAAAAAGAAAATATGAATAGGAAAAACAAATATTGCATTCCCCCCCACCCCAACGATGACTCTAAGATACACCCCCTTAATGATAATAAACTATTTTTCGCGACATACGTATGTTACTAGGTATGTGTATGGCAGAGTATGGCAGGGATTTTTTATAGAAGTAGGAAAATACATTTGCGTATCTCAAAGCCAGATGATTGGCCTGTTATGTCGGACTCAGGTTTCAATACCGACTAAAAACCTCCTGTTTCTCCGGCCTCTGCAGCCCCCGCGGAAACCGCCGTTAGGCATTACTTCGCAGGGAGAGGATCTAGTAATTGCTCTTCCTTCCATTAATTGAAGTCAATCTTCTCTTCCTGTAACCGTTCTTGTTGCTGGCTCGTTTTCTCTCTAGAGAACGCAGGTGTTGAAGCACTTTCGTTGTGTATTATGTTAATAATTTAATTAAAGTATTGGTCGCGTTACAGGATGCCTCCGGGGAAAGCATCGCATCAATTAGTGTCTCTGGTTGAATTGCCTGTTCGAGGACAACCTCCAGATGACTACGCATTAAGTTGAGACGTGGGCACACAAAGAACACGTGCTCCGCGGCTTCAGGAACTCCTGGACAGGACGGGCACTCCGGGGAATAATCGAGCTTAAAACGATGAAGATATGCTCGGAAGCAACCATGTTCTGAGATCATCTGTGTCAGGTAGTAGTCTAACCATGTTTTCGATTCAGCCAAACATGCAACTGAAGTAGAAGACTGTACGTCCACCTACTCTTTGTTGAGGCCTCCTACTGTACCTGCCATCGGCGTATGCTATGCTGCAGCTTTTCTCTTCTGAGTACATCAGGGCTCAGTGCTGACCATCCTCTTCATCGATAAAGGACTTGCCTTTCTTCGGCTAGAATTCCAATAGGAAGCATTCCAGCAATAACGCACACCGCATCCTCAGACACCGTGCGGAAGACACTAGCTACTCTCAAGGCACTCAGCCTATATACTGATGCGACTCTTTTCCGTGTTCCTTGTATTCTGAGGGCGTCAGCCCAAACTGAAATTCCATAAGTCAGTACCGATGTGACTACTGACGACAGCAGTGACCTCCTAATTTATTTCGGGCCTCCAACATTCGGCAGAGTATGTGGATTTTCTGGTGCTCCAGCTCCCCACCACCTGACGACTTGTGTAATCGCAAAAATGAATTGTGTATGATGTATGCTTAACTCAAATTATTGAAAAATTTTTTTGGTTTTGTGATTCCAATAAAAATGTTGGAGTTATTATTTGCTTCGCCATTACGTCGTACTGGACTTTTTTTTTAGTTTATATTATCATGTTTACCAAAGGTACGTAATCATAATACACATAATGTACGCAAATTCCAACTGATATAATCTCATTTTATACATCTATAAATGCTAACTTAAAAACTAATGTCAAATATTATTAAGTATCGGTTTCCGCAGAACAGTATTGTTAAATGAAACCGAACACATCGAAATTAATTAAATCGAATTGTTTAAGTCTTATTTTCAAAAGTCAATAACTCGGAAACGGTTGGTTTGAAGAACCGAAATATGTAATAATATAAAGGGGGTTCCATTTAAAAAAATGAAACTGATATGCCACGACTTTATGACCGACCCTCTATACTTAAATTTATAACCCGCTAATAGATATTTAAAAACTCTATAACTTTTATATTTAACTTTTTGCGGTACCTCTTATATTTTACCTAATAATCGACCGTTCCCATACATATCAGCGACCCTGTATAACATATAATTTAATTTTAATATACCTATTTTGTCACAATAAAAAAATGTTTATATCAATACACGATCGAACGTTTATAAAAATAAAACAATTATTGATGTTATTATAAATTATGTATTTTACATATCTATAAACATAAACTGAAAAAAAGTACAAAACAATTCGAATCTTTCTGAGGATTTGGAAAACGAAAAAAACTGCCATTTTTGTTGTCGCAACCCAAGTAGCACGAAATATTGGCTGCTCATTGTTTCTATATTGGCTCAATATTGATTCATTTTCGTTCGCACATCAATGTTGTGCCAATGTTGGGTCAATATTGTATTTTATTCAGTACATCTAATCTTGGTAAACAATATTGTACCCATATTAGTTTCTTAGTTTTTGCCAATATTGAAAATAATCAATGTCGGCCCATGATTGGCATTAACAATATTTTATTGTGACATTGGCCCAATATGCCTTTTATATTGATGTTTTGGATATTGGCATTTACATAATTAACTAAATTGGAACAATATTGAAATGCATTCTGTTTAGAATAAAATCGCTACCTATAGTAGATATGTCTCTAAAACAACTATCAATTAAACCTCCTACCTGTGAGCTAGATGGAGTCCAAGCCCCCTCTTTAGAACCATTGGACCTGCCAAAAATGGCTCGATGTAGTTTAGGTGAGCCCAAGAAAGTTTTTTCTTTCTTTTCCGCCTTGCCACTGAAGATTTTTGAAAGTTTACCAGTGCTCTTGCTTTGTTTGTCATCAATATTTAATTCAAAGGCCAGCCTGGGAGTGGATTTGCTCTCTGGACCTAAAGGCAAGGATATTGGGATATACTGCTTGCTAGATTTCAGCTTTGCTCTAAAATTAAAAAGAAATTATTCATAAAAAAATAATCTGGAGATTTAAACTGAATCTACCGCGAAGAGTCTCCAACTCTGTTAGTAAACCCTGGAAGTGACCTAGATGACTTCTTTTCTGCGGAACCAAAACTAGTTTGTCTCTTTAATTTCCCACTCTTTTTCGGCGTTTCTTGGACTTTGGTATCATCCAAAATCCGATTTTGAGCAAACTGGCTTTCGTTTACCGTTTCAGGACAATAAATCATCTCGTATGATTTTTTTCTAGACAAATTTTTATCTGAAGAATAATGTAAATGCGAAATGGTGTATTCATCACAGTCCCTGAAACCATTAATAAAATGTATCATACTTTAAATTTAAAAAAAACAGAATATACCTTGGCCCTTCCTGGATTTTCAAGGCCCGAGGTAAACTTCGGTTAGATTTGCTTTCTAATCCTTTTATGGCTCTAGGGTAATTTAAAAGTTTGCCCTCGGAATGTTCATCTTTATGCTGGCTCCGCTTCAGAGAACCTAACCTTTTGCCAAAACAAGAGCTACTAGATTCGTGTTTTTCTGATTGAGATGCAGAACGAGAAAGCGGGGGAGTTCCAAAAACATCCTCGTGTTCATCGATAGAAGGTCTTGGTTGAGCTCTGATTGGTACTTCCCCTTAAATAGATTTCCAATTTAAGTTAAAAAATTAAAAACTTGATTCAAAGTATGAAAATATTTGAGTTACAAAAAAATGACCGAAAAAGTACCAAGTTTCGGCTATATCTCGGAAAATATTAGCCGTAGAACCTGCGGAGAAAAAAATATGACTAAAGGTTGATTCTCACTATACCTTCCATATCAATTCCATTCCGTTTCCCTTCCGTTTACATAAAATATTATATCATGTAAATGAATAGGACAATGCACACTATCCGTTCCGTATCCCTTCCGTTTGATATCATTTCCTTCCATACATTTTTTTGGCGGACGGAAACAGCGTTGTCAAGTTCTTACATTTGTACCAGCTCTGTTAAAATTTTGCTGATATTTATTTATTCTTTCACCTCTTAATTAAATCGATTACATTTTTCAAAAGATATAAATTTTTAAAATAAAACTTTCGTAATGATATAAATTGTACAATAAAAAGTATGATACTGATACGGAACGGAAGCTTATGCATAGCGTCAATACAATAAAAAATACGGAACGGATATGGAATGTATATGGAATGGAAACGGAAGGTATAGTGAGAATCAACCTTAAAGTGGTCACGAGAAATTGCTGGAAATTATTTTCAAATTTGTAGAATTGCCGCTATAGGGCGCAACTGCTATGGCAAATAAGAAAATGTAAAGGGTGTCATAAATAATAGCGGTATAATCTTTATTCAATTTTGGATTTTTTTGTTTCAACCCATTTTGCCATCTCCTAAAATGAAGTGATGGAGGAAGGTTGGATCTGTTTTAATTTAAATGTTAATAACTCCCGACGAGAGAATCGGAATCTAAGGTTTAAAAAGAAGTTCGTTCGTTCCGTTGTTCGTACGTTCTTTACATCTAAATGCATAGATTTAACAATAGACGCTAAGGGGCGCTGTCTTACAATTTCACATTGCTCGTTTGTTCCAAAAAATAAAGTGCAATAATATGTGTATTTTTAGCTGACGGTAAAGCAGAACAGACTGTTACAAAGTCAGAGAAAACCGTATTGTGATATCTTTTTTCAAACCGAAGATATTAGCAAAAAAAATAATACAAACGAAAATATAAGACCTTGTCTACATTATTTTTATAACACATTATCGGTAGCCCGCTTGATTATAATCATTCTAATAAAACATAAAATAACAACGATTAATTTATTCTAATATCGATAATCTACCAAAATACCATAATGCCAGATGTATTAATGTCTAATAATTAAAATGCCAACGACAGCGAACAAGAAGTCTCAGTGCGGGTAAAGCTTGGTAGGCATTGGAAAAAAGTTACTTTTGAAGTATTAGTTTAAACGTTAAAGTGTTATTAGATCGACATTTTGATAGTCTCAGCCGCGTTTTTTATCATTTGATTGCATTTCTAAAAATAGCTCTATTACTTGAAGAAGAGGTGCACTGACCATGACCGATTTTAATCTAGCGTTCGCACTACTACGCATAGGAATTTGATAGAAGAAAAGAAAGTACTTTATAACAATATATTATAAAGGCAATGCCTAAGTCTCTCACAATTACCCTGATATTAACTTGGGGATCAAACTGCACATTATGCCAAAACATTTATCCTGTTTTAACTTTGAGTTCGACCTCTATGTCGTCATCGATAAAGAGAATAATGAATGAATAGGTACTTCCCATAGTACGAAAACGGCAAGCCAATCGATTAAACATTTTGATATTCTCAGCAGTTGATTAATACTGATTATTTGTTTTAAAAATACAAAATCTTAACTGACAATATAAAATTTTTGAAATGTCATAACATAATTACAATCAAAGTTAATCAAAAGAAAAGTCAAATGCATATCTCTATATTTCATAGCAATTAAACTTTTAGTTACGTAATCGAGGGCGCGATTTTTAAATTCATTGTTGCCAACCGTGGACATATTCGGCGCTATGCTGACTAACTAGAATTCAAATTTCGTGCTGGGGAATCAGGTGGGAGCTCTGCTGTAAAAAATGTCAAGTTGCCGCATTTATTTATTGATTTCTTGACATTAATAATTGTCATTCGTTCTGACATTTTGGTTTTGTATTACGAGTTTTTAGTGTAAATAAATAGTGTTGTGATACTTTAAGCTTGAAAATGTTTACTAGCAGACCTTGTAGTCGAACATTGTTCTTTTTAGAACCTCTTTTAGTGCGAAGTGTACAAGACAGATTAATAGCCGTAAAAAACTCATCGCAACTTTAGTAGAATATTTTGAACGAGAAAGCGGTAGTAATGGCCCTCTATGTCCCTTAACCGCTGTTAAGAAAGTGAGTTTTGTTGATGTAAATAATAACTGTTTATATATTTATAATTAATTTATTTTTGTTTCTTAAAATATTTTGATTAAAAGGAAATTTATAGAAGAAGGCAACGCTGCGCCGCGCCGATCAAGAAGAATGAATTGTATCTAAATAGCGGCATGCGATAACGTTACTAGCGCATTAACGACACGCTTATTATGTCAAAATTGTCAAAATAACGCGTCTCGTAAGGTAATATGACATATCTTTGCCATCTCGATCTATTCTGTATTAATTTAAAATTAACAGTCGAAAACCATATACATACCATAGACGACATCTGCTTTAATCATGCTCAAATCAATTTTAGTTTCTTCAAACTCACGATGGGGATTGGTTCTGCTCTCTTCCGACTGCCGATTCATCAACTCCTCTAATGTGACAAATCCAGCAAGATTATCTGGCCGATCTTTCGCACTCTGTTTACTAGCCGACGACGAGGAGGAGCCAAATTCGTTTACGTTGCATATGCTGGGATTACTGGCATGAACGTAGTTTGACCCTTTTTGCTTTGTTTTGCTGGTATCTGCTAAAGGTGGCGTTCTGATAATGTGTTCCACAGTTAGATTTGGAACGCTGATGTTCTGCGCTTGGTGTAAGTTTGAAGGACCAAAAATAGGCACGTGAGAGGTAAAATTCCCTGTTCGAACACTGGCATGCGTCGGTTCGTTTCTTACTTTCCGGTACGACCTAAACTGTGATGTTGGAACTGGAACACTGTTCTTTGTATTACTACTGGATTTATTAAAGAACCATTTCCGATCCAGGCTGGTGCTACCAGTGTGCGGCGTATCGGTCGAGGCCTTTTTCAAACTAAACTTTTTTAAAGATCCGAATTTTTTTAACGAATCGGATTTCTCTGGAGTGACTGTTTTAGGTTTCTCTGTATCAGAATCGTCAGTTTCCGAGTACAACTTGTCGTCGTGGTTTTTAGAGTGAGCGTCATGATGAAGGCAGGCGGTATGAATCATATCAATCCAAACCTGTAGAGTGTCAGGATCATCAGCAGAAAAATAGAATACAGTACCGGTGTGGTATACTCGGAACGCGTTTGATCTGGATTTTACCTAAAGTTGAAAATAATTGTTAAATTAGAATGGAAAACATTTATTTTAAATTTTTAAAAAAGATGATATTTTCTGCATCAGACACATTTTCTATAAAGTAACCACCAAAAAAGTTGCAAGAAATGAGAAATATTTGAGGAAATATCTTATTATTAAATTTCTAAAAAACATTTTATGTAAAATTAATCCAGAATGTCCAATAACAAAAACATACAGGGCGGCACCTCATTCGCCTCGGTTGATTATACGAAGAGGGAAAGATAGAATAGAAACAAAATTTTTTATATATATGTAGAGAGGCAATGTGCATAATTTCAAATTATTTTCAAAAGTACAGGGTGTGTCAAAACTAAGATCTATACCAAAATTATATTTTTTTCTTATGGAACACCCATGGTATTTTATTTCATTTTTGGATTCTTGGGCATAAAATAAGGCATTTATTGTAAGGGTTTAATATGTTTAAATGCTTAGGTTTATGATATATTTAATGATATTTAAATATGCATGCTATAATATAAAAGTTTGTCAACACCCTGTACATTACTTTTCAGAGCTAATTCTTGTGCTGACTTTGAAGCCAGAGAAATAAACTTTACTAAAAAAAAATATTGCTTCCTTAAATGTATACAGGGGTATCAAAAATTGCTTGTTTATTTTAAATATTTATTTTACATAAAAATTTCGTTATTTCAAATACAACACTATGTATTTTTTAAAATAAGTCGAAGCAGATTCAAATGCCCTTTCAAACTATATTAGGGTTTCCTATACCGATCTGGCTCAGATTTTGAATAAAAAGCGATTTTTCAATAAAATGACAATCAAGCTGGTGTTGCCATGGCAATTTGCTAGTGACAATTAGTAGCTATTATCAAAGTCGACATTAGTTTATGGACTTTATATAAATTTATAACAGTCTAATAATATAAAATATGATATCCTCTCCTATGATAACATCTTTGTATAAATTGAGATTGACATGTATGTTGTAATTTTGGTTGACCCTGTATTACTCAATCACATTTTAAGGAAACCGAAAAACGAAAAAACTTATATGAAAATACGCACTATAGTCTGTCCTGTATGAGTTAGAGAAGTTTTTGACAGAAGATATTAAAAAATGTTTTAGGCACTTATTTATGAGAAGACATTTTAATATTATGATATCAAAGAACCACAAGCTTCAACTTGCAAACAATTATCATTTATTTGTTTATTTAATTTTTATTTATTACAAATACATTAATGTCTCAAAATTATAATACTATCGAGATTACTTACTTCATTAGCCAATGAAACCGTAAAATCAGTCAGAAAAATAAGACAAGCCGCCCTGGGATCATCTTTATTTTTGTAACCATACAAGCAACTTCCTAATAACACAAACCACCTTTTCTCCCAATGCACGTTCTGGTTGTGCTTGCCACGAAGCCTCTGGTATAGGTATCCCTGGTTGTCGGGAGGAGACAGATCATTTACTGTCACTCTCCTCCGCTCTGATTAAAAAAATGATATTTAATAACTTAAGGTTGACATAATAGATGTGTTATTAACTGAGTAATAGCAAATATATTATAAGAATATATTGCTAGTAAAGAACAGAAATTAAAGTCAAATGTTGTAAAGTTTCAAATTTTGAGATGGAGCTATACAAAATCCACATAAGGCTTTCCTTTTCGTTCAACAGCTTTCAATCTTAATCGCGATTAGTTGATTTATTTCATACTAACCAATAGAAGTAGTTTTCTAAGTTTCTATCTACCACGTAAATCAATTTAGCGTCTGACTATTCGCGCCTTTACTTATAAATTTAAATTTAATCTCTGACATATGATATATAAACTAAAACAAGAAACGGATGGATATGATGAATATCTAAAATAACAGATTGAAATAATGTCATCAGCAATAAAAAAATTATATGTTATACGTTATTAATATTTAGAATTTAAAATAGTGCGCGGGCAGGTGACAGCGTTTAACGATGAAGTAGACGAATCAGATCGTTTTATTTGGCGCATGCGTACGAAAATCCTGTTGAACTAAAAGGATAGACTTATGCAAGATTTATATTCCTATTTCTTTTCTTTGGCTTCACTTTCCTCTCATTGTGTAAATGCGGTACTACCAATATATTCTCATAATATATTTGGATAATAGCATAAAAATTATAACTTACTTGCAATTAAATTATTCTTTTTCTTCGCTGACCTTGGTTTGTTTGATATCATGGCTTTAACAATACTATTGGTGGGAGAAACTTTACTCTCGGCATGTCTATATACATCGTAAGGAGTACTCTTTAATGGACTTCCCGCGTCCCCTTCATATTCCCCTCTTCCTTTAGGAGTAGAGGAAGTCTTGCCAAAACTTCTCTGCAAATCAAACGATTGCTTAACCTGAATCGGAACCAGGTAATCGTTCGAATCTGTAGAGTGAATAGATTGCATGCTGCCCATTTTCTTAATATCGACGTTGGTTTCAGGAAAATCAAAAGTCTTCTTTGGTGTCGACTGGACACCTTTGGGTGTTCGGGGTATTGGTGGTGCTGGTTTAGGACTTTCCGGTAAATGAACAGACTTTATACTATCTATAGATTTTCGCGGAGGAGGTTTTGGTGGTAAATCTACATCCGAAAGAATATTGCCTCTTCCTATATTCGAATCTGTTATACTCTCTAAAGATCCCTGAGAAACCACGATAACTGATGTTTCTTGAAGTTCCGTATATGTTACGTCATCTATAACAATTTTAGGAGTTTCATTTGCAGAACTGGATTTTTCTTCGGCAGGAAAGAACCCATCAGAATTCTCTAAAGGCGAACTTTCAGGAATTGTCTCGGAAATTTTTGGAATAACGTCAGGAAGCTTTTCAATTTTAATGTGAGGATTTTCTACCTGCTGTGGTGGTTCTTCGTCTGTCAAATCGTAGGCAGGTGTACTATGGCTCTTGTCCAATCTCCCTCTTAATTTAGTTGTAGAACTCCTCGGGGGAACCAACGGTTTCTTACTTTCAGGTTTCGTAGGTATCTCGGGAGGTTTCCTAACTTGAATTCGAGGCATTACTCTAGGTTTAGGTGGAGATATCTTCTTCTGATCGTCGAACTTTTTAATCATATTGTGAACGTTAATTTCAGCTAAACTTGGATCTCTAACGACAATATTTTGTAATTTGCCATTGTCTTTGTTGTTTTCGATGTTATTTTTTAAAAAGCTGTCTGTTAAAGACGTTTCTTTATCTAAAGTCGAAACCATACTAGATCGGTCAGTTAAATCACGCCCCTCATCAATAAAACTAATAGTTTCGTTATGAACACTGGACAAACTATTGACGCTAACGCTTTTTTCCTCATTTAAATTAGTATCGTGAATTTTGATATCCAGTAAATCCAGTTTATTATCGATCTTAGCCAAAGATCCATTCCTGTTTTTCATTTCTTCACTGGCATCATCGAAGTTAACCCTTTTCTTGGTACTACTTCTTTCACTTCTATCTTTTCCCTTGAAGCTTTCTTTGAGACTCTTTTTTCTACGATTACGCGATAAACCTATCACTGTTGTTGGCCTTGGACTGACATCTAAGCCTACATTACAAGATGCACTTTTATCTCTCAAAATACGTGATTCCTCTTCAAACCTGGCTTTGTCTATGTCGTAGAAACTAGACGATTGCTTGCTGGTTGCGCACGATTGCAAAAAATCCCAGTACTGAAATAGAGTATATAAATGTTATTTTATATTCTTTTCATAGTTTACAATATTTGCTATTTTAGTGCGTGGCCCCACATGAGGCGTAGCGAAGCGTAGAGCAGAGAGGACCGCAAAGCGTTTAAATGCATTAAAGTAAATGGAAGTGGCCTCACACATACAGGCGAAGCGTATTGCGGATTGACGCGTATTTTACTATTATACGCTAAGCTTCGCTCCACGCGTCCAGCTATGTTGGGCGGCGCCCTTAAAGATTATTCTTTACAGTGATGAATTTCTGTAATCTGCATTTTCCTTCATAAAAATATTCTTGTCATATTGTATTTAAGTTTAAACATTAATTAATAACGTAAGTTCCTTAAACCATAGCTAAATCCTTTTATTAATTAAAAAGGACATTATTTCAGAGAAATAAAAATATGCCACAATGCCTCCTAGTACAATGATTACAATCAAGTTTATGATGAGCACTTAAAGCCGAAACATCGGATTGAGTAATTAACCTTGCCATTTTGTAGATGACAAAAGTAACAATTGCAAAATTGTAGTTATTTTTATCTCTTATTGCATTCAATCTTTAAAATTTTAGAAAAATGAAAAACAGTTCTACCTCAGTTCATCCTCTACTATTGGAGCACCCTATACAAGTAAAAAACTACTGAGAATTGAACCAGTAGATTCTAAAATAGCCGTTTTTTAAATAATATGAATTATTTAAAAAGAATTAGAATGTTTTTTTTTGTTTCGGTGGCATCTTCCCAAAGATTTGCAAATATTAATTTGTTGCCAATTAGTTTTATAGTTAAGAGTATTTTGTATAATTAGGAAAAAATGAACACCTCAGTAGATTTAAGCTAAAAAACAACGGCGAATGCAGATTCTGTGGGAAAAATGGGGAAACACCAGAACACCTCAGCTGTCTCAGATACTGGCTTTGGTCAAAGCCCTGAGACCTGAGACTGTATGACTCGTTATATCTCAAGAGAGGGAGACACACAATAAGGTGTCCAAAAGTCCAAAATAACCTAGTTATTTTACTTTGAAAATTTAAAAAACAAATATTTTTTCTTAAACATAAATTTACATTTTTTTGTTTTTTTTTCGTTTTTCTAAATTTAAACAACTTATGTTGCGATATTAGCAAGATATTATATTTTTAACTGACAATTTAAAAATTTAACATTTTTTTCACAAAAAAAAGTCATAGACGTATTTCTGGGGAATCATAAAATATTTGCTTTTCTAAAAACTTACCCTGTATAAACAAGGCTAAAACTGTAAAGCTTGATTGAGCTAAGATAGATAGATGAACGCCATAAGCCTAAAATAACAAATATACCGTATGATCGAAAAAAACCAGCGTCCAGTCGGCTTGGGAATGACGATCGATGACAATTCCCATATAATTTTACAAATAAAATGACAGCGATCTTCATTTCATAGCCAAGCGATGGCTATGAGTGTGTATTTTCTATTATATTCAATTTTAATTTTAATTGAAAATAATAGATAGATAATAAATACAAATAAAATATGATAAAAAAATATAAACAAAGAGATGAAAAAATCTATTCAAATATATAATAAAATGCATAATAAAATAACTTCGTATGTAATAGCTGTAGTCTCTATTTAACCATCCATTAAATGTCTTAATCTCTACATGCATCTAAATACAATAAAACAAAACAAGAAAATTGATCATTATTTTTTTACAGTAAATGTATAAAACATATTCAGTAACAGAATTCAAAATGTAATGAATAAATGACTGCATAATATAAACGAAAATAAACAAATAACTTACGCGTAGAAGTGAAACGGGAGAGAGTAAACCGCACTTCTACTTTCAAGGCCGTTTCAATTCAGACACTAAACATTGTTACACGGGCCGATAATGACTCAAAATACGAAAACCGGGAATAAATCGCCGGATTTTACGACCAGTTTTGTTCTAAACATCGAAACGGGAGCCCAGTCAGACGGTCTTATCGGCACAGGATGCGAGGGGATACTTACAATTTACTGGGCGACAAATATTCTTTAGATAAACAATTCAACATAATTCCCTTATCATTGTTAAATACGGTCGAGTGCGAATTTTTTCTTGTTAAACACCATTATTGCCTCCCGCTTACTGCAATATTAATATGTATTTATTGTCGGCAAAATTTTATTTGAAATTATCTGACATCATTTTTAGCTTATTGCAATTTATTGTAATTATAGCGTTTTGAATATTTGCACCGCTAAAAATAGTACAGCTATTAAATGTCTATGCACTAAGCAACATCCACACTGAACAAATAGTATACAATAAAAAAAACAGCGTCAAAGACGGCTGGGGAATGACAATCGATAATAATTTTGGCAAGGACAAGCCCTAGACGTCATTTTTAATGGCGCTTACTGCCTGGCCTTAGAAGATGGTAACTTATTTTTGTATTGAGTAAAAATGAGTTTTAAATGGTGTAGTTTAAAATTCGACAAAAAATATTTTTTTAAATAAATTTATTGTGTCTAGAAATGTTCTATCCTTTTTTAATCTTTCGATAATTAGTGTTAATTTTTGACAAAATTCTTGACACGTCAAGTGCTAACCGAATAAGCTCAACCTATTATCAAGGAAGTCTTTGCTGCAGACTCTGCGATAAAGATCCTGAAACAGCGGAGCACATAATATGTAACTGCGAGGTTCTGGATCGTAAGAGACACTTTTTATTTGGGGAAGCAAGGTTAGAACAGGAGAAACAATGCTTTTATCCTTTGAATAAAGATTAAGGAAGGAGTTTAATGCTATCCATGTATTCATAAAAAATGTCTATACCTATGTGGCGGATTCTGCAAGAAAATCTACACTGCACTGCAAGAAAATCTACAAAATAAAATAGTTATTTTTTGTAAACACTTCTGGCGTTAAACCTAAACGGACACTGCTTGTCAGAAGTTATGTATACAAATTTGCCTACAGATTTGCAACGTTAAGCATTTTTTCTTTGTTATGCAAATTTGTATAACTATAAACATAACTTCTGACAAGCAGTGTCCGTTTAGGTTTAACGCCAGAAGTGTTTACAAAAAATAACTATTTTATTTTGTAGATTTTCTTGCAGTGCAGTGGCGAAATACCCGTAAAGGATTTTTTTTGGAGACATGTATTTATGCATGGTAGACGGAGAGAGGGCCCTAGGATCTTTGACAGTTCTGTTTGACGATACATTTGACACATTTGAAATTGATTTCAAATTCTTAGTTTGGGAGATATAGAATGTAGAAGTTTCACTTTTATTTCGATTTTTTCAAATAATTTCTGAACTAACGTCGATATTTGGATAAAAATCGGTATATGGGAGTTTTTTGACATGAGAAATTTGATTTTGATGTCAATATGACTCCTACTTGTAGAGGGCGGCACCTACAGTGGAACAAGCCTGTGTTAACCTTTGGACATTTGACTAAATAATGTGAAAAGAAGAATAATGATTTATGTGAAAATAAGAATAATGGTTTAGTATTAATATTTACTTAATTTTGAAGTATAGGTATTTTGAAATTAAATTTAACTCCATGATTAAAGTAGCATTGTGGATGATTAATTTGCGTTTTTAAACTATTTTACAAAAAATTCCAAACAAACTTTATCTGCCCTTAACAGACAAATATTCACATATTAAATGCATAATAAAATGCTGCCCCAGTCTGCACCCCTCAAAGAACTAGAAAATAATTTAAAAATTATACTTTTAAACATAAACTAATGATTTCTAATAACTGTTATAATTTATCAAAACTCTGGCGAAAAGAAAACCATTGTAGGTAATAAAGAACATTCCCATTTAATAAATTCAGCAAAAATTGCTACCTCAGGTTGCAACCCTTAAGATATCAAAAGGTCATATTCAATAAAGTCCTTCAGAATCCAGAAAATCTATAAAACAAATTATTATAGTTTTTTTTATAAACTTTAATTTCATATACTTCTAGTATATTTAATACTTTTAATTGAATAGAATAATTCTTAAGAAAGTATTTATAAAAATACCTATGAGATTAAAAAGGAAATGTCCAACTGCTGCCATATACTCGGTCCACTGTGCGGCGTATCAAAGGCGTGAAAGAAATGCTCAAGCTCGAAGAGTCGTGCGGCGACCGCGGGGACTGCGGGGACGATTTGACGTCATCGTCCACAATTTGTTTGGTCTAATAGGATTTTGCCCGATGCCCCCGATCCGACGTCAACGCGTCTAGGTGCATACCACCGAACATAGCCTTTTTTGAATACAAAAAATCCCATAAGATCTCGTAACTGTCTAATTTAGTTTGTGTTATTACTCTTTAAAACAGTTAAAACACATGTAGGTGGCGCCCCCTCGGAATAGGAGTCATATTGACATCAAATTCAAATTTCTCATGTCAAAAATCTCCTAGACACCAAAAATCTAAATATTAACGTTACTTCAGAAATTATTTGGAAAAAAATCGAAATAAAAATGAAACTTCTACACTCTGTATCTCCGAAACAAACCATTTTAGGACATATATTTATACGAATTTTTTACTTATTTTTATCTGCAATATGCTGCCGAAGTTTCCAGAATACATTTCGGACCACCCTGTATAATATATGTACATACGTGTAGTACACCGATCATTTATGAAATTCACTTAAAATTAACCAATTAGATATTTTATAGTTTTTCTTGCATTTTTGCTTTTATTTACTACTCGTAAAAGATTAGATGTTAAAGAATTTAGGTACATCAATTTGACTTACCAGCTTCAATAGCGTATCAGATGTTTGTGTTAATAAATAATTATTATCACTTATCTATTTTTATTAGAAACATATATTTTTATAGCAATTTTAATAACTACCAACATTTATTGACAACGTAAAATAAAACAACAAATTATTGAATCTACCCTACATCATATTTTTACAGGTTTTGAATAAGATTAGGACAGTCCTGATAAACCGAAATTTAAGTCAGCCATTTTAGAATCCCGTCCCGTTCTATCTAAGATTTTTGATATGCTCCTTCCTGTATCTTTTTTATTCAAAGCTACCATCTTATCAAGGACATGCACAAGTTAGTGCAGGGTATAGGGAGGAGAATGGGCGCACACATAGAAAGGGGACAAACTCAGTAGGCCTCACAGGTCACAGTGTTCCGGCTCATTATTAAAAAAAAAACATTCGTGTAGGCTCAGTCTGTCCTTGCTCAGATGTAAACGCGCCTTAATAATATTAAGAATAAAACATTTTCTAACAATGTAGCCATTGATAGAAATAATATTATTACTCAATGATTATTTATTAAATGCATTTACACAATTCAGACTTACCTGTTCAATTGATGTGTTTGGTCTCTTGTTGGTAGGTGTCGTTCCTGTAATTGTATTCCTCCTTTGCAAAATAGGTCTAGGTTTAATAGGATACATGCGAAAAGTACCCTCCAGCGGACTATCTGAGGTTCACTATCACTACTGCTTAATTCAGCTTCAACATTACTGATTTCCTCTTCAGATCTATAACAAATAAGTAAATTACAAATTTGGCAAAGTAAAAGGATATTTTTCATATATTCTTATTATTTTTTTAGATGACTTTTTATTGAGGGGATTTTGTCACCTAGACTACATGAGTACTACAGTTTTCACATTATTCTGTGTGTCCCAATTATTAACTGGAAATAATCAAATAACTGTGAATTTATTTACGATTTATTTACTATTAGGTTGGAGCATTCTCCGCCTGTATTTCCACCATAGCAGAATATCGTAAACAACTAGTGTATACAAATACACGGGTTTAAATAGCGAGTATACAAAAATTTATTATATAATTATTCTAAAAGTGTTAGAAAGTATAGTTAGTGAAAATTCTAAAAATAAAAATAAAGAAGTAAATATTTTGATATCTTCAGAAGATCTAACTTGTATTATAATTTATTATTCCAGCTAAAAAAATCTTTTTAGAATTTTTTGTTGCTTTTGGTTATAGCAAGAATCGAGCTGCCTACTTTGGCTAGCAAAATTGGTTAAAATGGAGCTGCCTGGTTACTGCAGCCACCTCTTCAACTAACCTAGTAATATGACATTATGAAATTAAGAAAAAAAGTTATAGGGAAACAATCAAAAAATTAAAAATCAGCATTTACTTTATAAAAAGAAATTGAATTTGAAAATGTTTTGGCACTATTTGGCACATTTATACAGGGTGTATTAATTTATATATAAGAAGTGTAAAACAAACATCTCATTCAAACAATCCTGTTAAACTATGAGTTTAGATAAGTCTTAAAATAAATTCTTCCATTATTAGAATCCATACTAACAATTTTTTTAATAGGTACTTACTTTGTTACTGTGATAGGTGGCAAGTCAATAATTGGCAATAACCTTGGGGAGGGTAAATTATCATTCCATTTTGACCAGTTTTCGGTGCCTCTCTTTCTACTGGGTAATCTATACGGTTTCATATAGATTTGACCATAAACTTTTGAATGCCGAGGTCTCTTTTTTAATGTCAATACAATTTCTGGCGACTGTTCTTGTAACAGATGCATAACTTTTTTAGCCTGCCATCCAACGACTGTTTGATAATTAACCTGTACTATTTCATCACCTAAAGAAACAACTATTATATTACCAGATAAAAAATACAGTACAAAAAACCTTACCTTCTTCTATTTTTGTACTACCATGAGCCGGAGAACCAAATTTAATATCAACAATTTGATGTATGGGATGATAATTAGGCATAATATAAAAGCCAAGATCTTGTTCCTTCTTTTTCAACGTTGCTAAATCTAAAGATGCAGGCTGTAATATCATTGGGTCGCATATATCCTAAAATTCAAAATATACAGCTGGATTCAATTTAAGTTGTATGAATATAAATTACTTGTATAATATGATCAGCTATTTTTGCAAGTTTTTCACAACTCTTTTTAATATCTAATACTGGATTCTCTGAGAACTTTCCCCTATGTGCAACATAGGCCATCTCAAAGCTTAATTGCAATAATTCCTTTTTGTTGTCTAAATAGTCCTTGTCACCCGTAAAAGGTGATCTAAAATTATACTCAAATGATGAATAAATATTAAAACAACTTATTAATTAACTACCTATCTAGCCATAAGACTAAAGGTTTTATGGCAGCAACTATGTTATGAACATCTGACATAACTTGAGTTTTCACAGAATCGCTCCTTTCATCTACTAATAAAAGTTCTTTGTATAAAGAATTAGCTGCGCACGAAAGCTTCAGAGCAAGCATTTGCAAATTCTCTGTGTTAAGTTCATAGTGCTAAAAAGAACTAATTAGCTTTAATTGTGAAATATATAGAACACATACAATATTTCTGAGATGCTCCACAGCTTCTAAAATAATCTCTTGATGACCTAACTTTTTTACTCCCAGGTTCTCCAAATCTTCTGCACGTAAATTTAATAAATGTTGCCCGGTAACACCATTATTCAAAAATGAGGCTTGATACTGAAAAATTACATTATCCAGGCCTAAAACATTTTTTTTTGAGCGTTAACAAATAAAATTAACAAAACTCTTTTTAAAGGTTACCTTTCAACCAGTACATAACTTGGTCTACCGGCCAATCTTTCACATTAACATAAGCCATGGCTTCAACGCATAAAACAAACTATAAATTACAAACATAAATGTTTTTAACAATTAAACACAAATTGAAAATCAAAAACTGCATTATTATTTTTCAGAATTGCTGACATTTCTGTTGACATGAATGAACTTGTCAAAATTCATGAATCATAATATTTGATTCAGCGCTATCTATCAAAGAATAGCGAAAACCTCTATAGTTAGGTTTCTGTTTGACTATATAGAGGGCAGCAGAATATATTTTATTTTCCGTACTTTTAAACTAAATTTAAAATTTTAGTATTTATGGGAAAAATAAAACTGGACGAGCTGCTTATCATTTATTTCTTTTTAAATTGTGACTAGGAAGTATTTAAAGTATTTGAAAATTTTCTTCAATGCAAGGGAAATTTAAGTACCCTTGAATCAAAAGAATAGAAAGTAAGTTCTCCCACCCAAAGCGATAGTACCATTGGCAATCTGGTATCAATACAAGGAAGAGAACAGAATTATCAAATCAATGTTACCGAATGTTCCACACCTTCGATTATATTGGACAGTGGAATGCCAAACATTTTTATTAGTTTATTCAATCAATGGATAGTGCAGTACCGACATTTTAAATCGTTACCGTTTAACAATAAAACGTTTTTCTGAAAATTGTTTAGCAAAATGGTACTGTCAGATCAAAAAAAGTGTCCCAAATCATATGGAATTAATGATATAAATGGGTGAGCAAAAATTATAAAAATAATGATAAAATATATTTTATTTTATTTATTGCGTCTAGGAGCACACATTAAATAAATAATTAAATTAAGGTAATCTTTGATTTAATATATAAATAGGTGAATATCTAATATTTGCAATACCTACATATTGAAAATATAATGTTTACTATTGTTTATTTAAATAGGTATTTTTCTAAATAGGTACTTTATTATTTAAACCCTCAATAGAATTTGGCCGAATTCTGACTTAAATCCGAAATATTAAATTATTGGTTTATCATGATAACATGATACAATATGATAAAAAAAAACTGCGTCCAGTGCTGCAACTGTGAAATGACGATCGCGGACATTCCCTATATAATTTACATATAAAATGACAGCGATCCTCATTTCATAGCTGTCGCTGTCATTTTATATGTAAATTATATGGGGAATGTCATCGATCGTCATTTCCAAACCAACTGGACGCCGTTTTTTTTCGATCAAAACTAACCAAGTATGCTTAAAATGCTTTATGAGGAAACTAAACAATAACACAATTTTAATTTAATAAATAATAAAATTTTTGTTAAACATTATACATACTATAATATATTCAGCATCAACGACACCATTAGCCCGAAGCTGCATCAAGTAGGTACCATACGATGGAAAAAAACGGCGTCATAGACGACTGTAGAATGACAATAGATGATAATTTTGGCGAGGTCAAGCTCTAGACTTAATTTACTTGGCCCGTATTCTCCTTTATTATTTTAGGGCATTTATTGTCAGTTGACTTTAAGAAGGTTGTGATTTATTTTTATATTGACTAAAAATGATTTTTAAATTATGTATACCGGGTGCGTCTCAAAAGTGACTCACCACAATAACTTTTTTATTTTTTCAGATAAAAATAATAGGTTTGATGTGTTAGTATATGGCATAAATTAGGATTGATTGACGTATTCAATTGTTTTTGGTCACTTCCTGTTTCACCGGAAATGACTAGAACTTTTGATTTTTAAATGGCACCCTCGGTATTTTTTTACTTTATTCGATAGAAAATTGCATTCTGAATAGAATGACATATTATCATATGTCAACTTTTGGCATTTTCGCTTTAAAAATCGTATTTTAAATTTCAATCTAGAGTGCCATGGCTATGTTAAAAACATTAATTTTTAATCAAGGAGCCTTGGAAAAATATATTTGACCGTCTAATGTTTTTAGTGTCTTGTCCTGGCCGCTTAAAAGATGCCCAAATCATATTTTTAATCATATCTCAATTTTTTCAAATGGAACGAGGGTGGCTCATTAGTATATTTGGAAAAAGGATTTTTTTACGAATAATTTGAAACCACACACTTATTGGTATTTCGAGTCAAATTTTTGTTATGAACTGCATGTTATAATTTCAAATTAACCATATTCGAAAATGTCAAAAGTTGACATATGCATGTCATTCTATTCAGAGTATCATTTTCAATCGAATAAAGTAGAAATATACCGAGGGTGGCATTTAAAAATCAAAAGTTGTAGTCATTTCCGGTGAAACAGGAAATGACCGAAAACAATTGAGTACGTCAATCAATCCTAATTTATGTCATATACTAACATACCAATTCTCGTTTTTTTAACTGACAAAATAAAAAAGTTATAGGGGTGAGCCACTTTTGAGACCCACCCGGTATAAATCAAAATTCGAGAAAAAATATTTTTTTGAAAATTCATTTTTGTGTCTGGAAACGTTCTATCCTTTTTAAATATTTCTATAATTAGTGTTAATTTTTGACAAGTTTTATGTCAATTTTTGGTAAATGACGTCTAGAGATTGACCTTGCCAAAATTATTATCGATTCTGATTTCCCGACCGTGTTTGACGCCTTTTCTTTTCAACCATACGGTACCTCATCAACTATTTAAAAAATTCATTTTGTATTGTGCGCCTAATAAAAATTAATTATATTATTATTAATAATAAATATTATTTTAAATAAAAATTTTAAGAAATCCCTGGATCTTTTCTGGGTTTTCTTTTTGTAAATATAATCACTGCCTATGTGTGTTGCCATATTATCAAAATATAATAGAAGTTGTTAACTAGAAATAGAAAGCATCCAGAATATGTTTCAAGAAATTCCAAATTTTCCAGAAAAAATGTTCGCGAAAGAAACTTTATAGACGTGTTTCTGGGGTCGAAATATACTACACCTAAAAATATTTGGACTTATTTTAGACTCACCCTGTATATCTTCAGCTCTCCTAACTATAAAGAACTTGTTTATGAGTTAAGAGGCTTATAATAATTAAAAGAGAGCATGCTTTATATAATTATCTTGTTTACAGACAAGAAGATGCAGATACAGAGGAAGATCATTCATCTTGGAAGTTTTGGAAGAAGAGAAGATACGTAGTCGCAACATTAGCTTTTTTCGGATTTTTTAACGTCTACTCTCTTAGAGTTAATTTAAGTATAGCAATTGTGGCGATGACACAAGATAGATACGAAACATTAGAAAATGGTACGAAAATTTCTTTGGTGAGTTTCCACGGTGACTAACGACACCACAGCCTATTCCGTAAACAGCCAGTCTACTTCTACTCTTGTCGCGCCTGTTCTCGTACGCCTGTAGTAACTATAATAGTTATAAACGTAGCTTCAATATGGGACCCCAATCCATCCGACTTCATACATTACATAAGATAACGAGCATTTTTTTACTACCAACTAAAATTACATACTTATATACTATTCCATTTATTTTTTTTGAAAAAAAACACGCAACGGTTTGTTAAATTGTAAGACACCGTCTTCCTAGTGTCTACTGTTAAATGTTTATTATTATTTGTTATATTATATCATCTAGAGTAAGGAATACTCTTTTAAACGAGCCCCAGTTTAATATTTAAATAAAAACAGATCTAACCTTTTCCCACCAATTCATTTTAGCATATAAGAGGGCAAAATTGTTCCAACTAAAAAAATCCGAAAATTGCTCGGAAAATTAGAATGAAAATGAAAATTTATGGTAGGTACCTTTATGGTATCTTATCTGGGCACAATTTTGTAAAAATTCCATTTCTTATTTGCCATAGCAGTTGCGCCCTCTAGCGGCCATTCTACAAAGTTTAAAATAATTTCCAGCAATTTCTGATGGTCTCTTTAATTATAAATATTTTTTTTCCGCAGACTTTACGGCTAATACTATAATACCACAGCTAATACCCTTGATTATAGCTAATACTTTCCGAGATATAGCCGAGAGCAATTCTTAGTGGGACACCCGGTACTTGTTTGATTTTGCACTTTCTAAAATTATGTAAATATTTTCCTAAAATTGTATCTTTATTTTTTTGCCGAATAAAATAGACTAAAATGGAAGCTTATATTAGAAAAGTATATTTGTTATTTAAATTAGAAATCTACAGTATGTCCCCGGATTGTCTTTACAAGAGGAAGAACTTTTTTATTTTTGACATTTTGAGAAAAATGCATTCGTCATAAAAATATTTGCCTGTTCTAAAATGGTTAATCCCGTTTATACTTTTCCATATTTCCATGCCGTGTTAGAAAAAACTAAAAAAAAACATGAAAATATCGTAAAGTCCTAAAAATCAAAACGCGTTTTTATGGTAACATAATTTCGTTTTCCTCCTTTGATAGATTGTTTTTGATAGAATTTTAATTAACGTCTTTTTTCTTGCTGTCTTAAAATGTTAAAAAAAGAAAAAAATTATTTAGTTCAATGCTATGGAAAGGGTGATAATAGTTATTGGAAAATGCGATACTTTAACAACAGCAAAAAATATGACATTAATCAAAATTAATAATAACAATCTATCAAAGAATGAAATCGAAATTATATTACCTTAGAAACGCCTTCTGATTTTTACGACTGAAAAAAATCAACCAGATTTTTATGTTTTTTTCGTAATTTCCTCTCAAACGATGTAGAAATATGGTTAAGTATAAACGGAATTAACCATTTTAGAACAAACAACATTTTTTATAAAGAATGCGCTTTTCTCGAAATGTCAATAATAAAAAAGTGTTTCTTGTAAAAACAATCCGTTGACATACTGTAGGCATATATTTTATTTAAAAAAAAATCTTATTATCTCTCTTTAATTACCCAAAGAATATTACATTACAGGGTCCTGAATTCGACTGGAGCAACGAGATGCAGGGATACATCCTCAGCTCCTTTTTCTACGGTTATATTACTACACAACTGTTGGGCGGTTATTTCGCTACAAAATTTGGAGGCAAAATGATATTCGGTTCGGGAATAGCTGTCACATCAGCACTAACTGTGATAACTCCATGGCTTGCGTCTGCCAGTGTGTACCTTTTGTTAGCTGTAAGAATAATCGAAGGAATTTTTGAGGTATATATGCTAAAA